TATATATAGTACATAAAAACAACAAAAGTTGACTAAATAACTTCACAATTCAGCCAAATGAACAGATAAAACAAAAACACACTGAATACAGAAATGTTCAAAAATGAGTAAAATGAATAAAAAATACAGAAATACAACACAAAAACCTCAGCTCTAAAAGAAGCTCAAACTCTACCAGAATGAAAAACCAAGGAATAAAGATGGATCTTAGATTTAAAAGTCTCGACAATCTCAATGGTCCATAAACAAAGAGATAAACTCTTCCACAGGTTTGGGGCAGAAACTGCTGAAACTCTGGATCTAGGAACATCTAAACTGGTTGGATGACCAAAGTGCTTTGACTGGAGTGTGGATGTTAAGGGGATCACACAAGTATGATGGGTTCAGACCTTTCAGAACCTTAAAAGTAGCAGTAAAATCTTAAAATCTATCCTAAAGCAAACAGAAGTTAATGGAGAGAAGCCAGAACTGGAGATGTGTGTCCATGTTTTTTAGTATCTGTTGGAAGATGAAGTACTTCATTCTGGACAACTTGTAAACAACACAGAAAGGAGTGATCTAAACCCCCCAAAAAAACAAAAAAAAAACCAAAAAAAAACCCCACTACATTTAATCAAACAAGAGGTAATAACAGCATGAATCACTTTTTCAACGTCTTCGGTGGGGAGATACGTATTCATGTTGGCAATAAGTTTTAGTTGGAAAAAAAAACGGTTTCAGACCTGCTTTCATCCTTTTCTCCAATTTAAAGGAACAATAAAAATCACACCCAGATTCCTGACAGCAGAGCAGCTTTATGAAACCAAGAGACCAAGATTGGGAAGAAAAATATATTTACCAAAGCTCATCACTTCAATTCATTCATTTAGACTCAGGAAATTCATATTCAACCAGATTTTTATGTGGTTCAAAAGGGGTTTCATCAGGAAGGGTTGGATTTGATTTACTGAGTCTGGCTTAATGGGCAGATAAACCTAAATGTCATCAGCAAAACAGTGGAATAATGCAATCTTATATTTTCTAAAAATGCATCTCGAAGGCAACATGTAAAAAAATAAAAAAGCAGAGGACCTAGAGTAGAGCCCTGAGAGACTCCACAAGTCAGAGGAGCTGTAGAAGAGAAGTATTCCCCTAAATGAACAGAAAAACTCCATGTAAGATCTAAACCAGGATAAAACTGTACCTGTGACAGTAAGATGTTATTGTCCACGGTATCAAAGGCAGTGGAAAGATCTGAAAGCACAAAAACATCAGAGCCTCTGAATCACCAGTTAAAAGAAGATCATTGGAACCTCTTAAAATGATTGTTAAAGCTGAACTGCATTTTGCGGTGCACTTACAAAAGTGACAGAAAATTTTATTTAGTATTTTTGCTATACTGCACACAGTCACATGTGTTGTGACTGTCTAATCTGGCTGAAATATAATCTGGAGCAGGAGAGCAGGTCTGAAAATACAATGGAGCTGTGATGAAACCACAACATTCACGTTTGATTAGATTATCAAATGTTTCATCAAGTGCTGTGGGGGTTTCTCTCTCTCTCTCTCTCTCTCTCTCTCTCTCTCTCTC